TGCCAGTCGCTGTTCTCCATGCTGCCCTGGCTGCGCTTCGGGCTGTTGCTGCGCTTCTCCGTGGTCGCATCCTCCAGGGGCTTGGGCCGCAGCGTCCTCAGCTTGGCCTTGGCTTTCGGCACCTCCTCCACAGCACGGCCCGTCGCAATGCTCGCTGTCCGGGGCGACAGCAGCCAACGATCCAGGCACTGAGAGCAGTGGATCCAGTTCTGGTGCCCATTGCCACCACCCTTCAGGAAGCGAGCCTCGTGCTGACAAATCTCCGGGTCTACGGCCGGGATCCCCTTGATCTTGGCAAGCTTCTTGGGGCCTTGGTCGAGGTAGTCCCGGTAGAGCTTGCCCTTGTTGGTCGGGGCCAGGGCCACGTCGCCGGAGGAAATCGCCGAGGCACGGCTCGCGGGTTGCGGCAAAGGAGCCGGGCCCATCCAGTCCGACACCGCCGTATGCAACCGCCCCCAAAGCACAACCGAGTAAAGCTTGTCCAAGATGACCCGCCAGTTTCTTAAAGCCAACCTGGCGCGGTCTGGAACTCGTCGTCGCCGTTCTTGTTGAGGTCGGGAAGCCGCTTGGAGAGCCAGGGAGGCGAGCATGCTGCGCGAGATAGCAGGTAGCCGGGGGCACACACATTGAGTGAAAGCCAAGTTGCTGCTGCGATCCGCGTTCGCTGCTCAAACGAAAGTCTTGCTCACTTCTGACTCCCTGGCACCCTGAGGGTAAGCTCCAGCCGCCCGGCCCAAAGTCAACAACAGAAACCGCCAAATGCCCCGAAGCCATAGAAACCATAGGGCACTCTGCGTTAACGGCCGTGAGCTGCAGCTTAGAGTCGGGCATGTTCACAACGGCACCCAGCGCTTTCAGCAAAGACACCGGCAACAAGAGAGGAACATCATCTGAGACCACCGTGGTTTCTAATACCCCTGGTATGCCTGCAACACCAACAGGAAGTTCGCAAACTCCAACGGTACGAGCATTTCCTCCTATGCCTCGAGCACTTGCCTCCTTGTTTGTCCAGTGGGCTCGAAGATTGTGTTTGCGAAGTACCGACATCAGCCTTAACAAAGCACTCCGCCCAATCAGCCCTTCTTGGGCTGCTGTGTCCACGAGGCCCTGGTGGTCTGCTGTCACTACAAAGGTGCTGGGGATGCTGGCTTCGGTCTCGGCCTTTTTGCTCGTCTCCTTGAGCGCGTCAAGAAAGGTAAAGAAGGTAGCTGCCCCCTGCTTGTCGGGAGGCGCTGTCCAGTAAAAGCTGGACCGCTGTGACCCAGTCGTTGCCGAGCCCGTGGCCGCTGACGAAGGCTGCCGGGAAGACGGTGCAGAAGCCGAAGGTGGGGCCTTGCACTCTCGAGACCAGTGCCCTACCTGGCCGCAATTGCGGCACCTTGTTCTCAACTTGAGCTGCTCGATGTGTATGCGGCGTCCGTCTCCCTTGCTGTGCTTGCCATCTCCTTTGCCACGGCCAAAGCCTTTGGAACGGTCGCGGCCCCCACTGGCGCCTCGGCCCTTGCCTGAGCCAAAGTCGCCGGGCTTGAAAAACTGACGGCCCAACTTCTGCTCCTTGATCTGCCGCCGAACCTGCTGATAGGTGGCGAGGGCCTCCAGGACATCGTCTTCCTCCAGAACCTGGTCGAGCTCGCCCTCCTCGAGGTAGACCCAGTTCTCGTCGTCCTCGTCCTCGTCCGGGGTGCCGAGGTAAGCCTCCACCGTGGTGTGGTCGAGGGCGTCCTCGGCCGGGCCGTCTTCCGCCCAGAAGGTCTTCTTACTGCCGTCGGCGTGCACCCTCTCCAATCGCCTGAGGTTGGTGGTCACCGTGTCCAAAGAGTAGTCCCCGCCAAGCCACGTAACCAGCCGGGCCTCCAGCTCACTGTCCAGGTTGGCCTGCCTGAACAAGAGGTAGCCCGTCGCCTTGCTTGGCAGGGTGATGCCTTCGTCTTTCAGAACTGCTTGCGCCCTCTGGAAACGGATGAGGAACTCGCTCATGCTCTCCTTGTGCCCTCTCGGCTGTCCGTAGAAAGCATTCTCCATCGCCCTGGGCAGGGCCGTCTCTATGTAGGGCTCGAAGGCTTCTTTCAACTTCTTCAGGACGTTGGCATAGCCCTCGTCGCCCTTGATCTCCTTGACCGTCAGCGTGTCGACCGCAGCCTTGGCTGCTCCAGACAAAACCTGCACCAACTTCAAGCCTTGCTTCTCCTGAGGTACATCTGTGGCCGCCTGCCATAGCTCCAGGTCACGGAGGTAAGGCTTGAACTTGCTCTGCGGGTTGGTGCCGTCGTAGCTTGGGGGTGGGTCCTTGTCACGATAGACCCAGCCTCCTTCAGCCTGAGCCTGCGCTCCGGCCATGGTGGCGAAACTCCTCTAGGCAACGGCTCGCTCAGCAAAGCTCTCAGAACAACGCCCTTCTTCGTAGAACTTCCGGAGAAACGCTTAGTAGGGCTCGAGCTCCGCAGCGCGCCGGTCACGAAGGTCTTCCGGCGAATCGTGTAGAAGAGGCCGAAGACCGGCCGCCACCCAGAGGAAAGGTCCCTGGTCTAACCGCGGCTCCGGTGCCAACTGATGACAATCTGAAACCGCGCAAGCGAAATGCAATGGCTGACACACTCTCTCTTTTGCTTGCTAACACTCGGTAGCGTAAAAGCTCAAGGGCCCTAACACGAAAGAGCCAACGGCCGCAGGTCAGGACAGCTCACTTGCAGTAGCCGCCAGCATGCTGATTCACACCTGAATGACGAATCTTGATGAGCGATGCAGGGGCATGCTGAATCGTTCGCCGCATTTCTCCTCACAACTGTTGCGCATGAAGAGCTCCCCAAACGTCGCAGACCTCGCGGCATCGATGTCAGACCGTCATGCACGCTTCAGGTCGAAGAATGGAAGGCAAGCAATTCTATGAGACTGCCTCAGCAGGCTTGCATCTACAGGCTTTTGCTTCCAGAGCGCATGGATGCGATCTCGTTCTGCTCTGCTTCCAGGGCTTTCCGAAGCGCATCTACCTGTCAACTTTCCGTCCTCGCTTCGGGCAGCCCACATGTGAACCCCGCACCTCTTGCTCCAGGCCCTCGACAGTCGTGCTTCCCGGAGGACCGCCTTCGTCCTCCTGCCGTGCATCTGGACCTCTTCCGGATGGCAGACGAACGGGGGAGAAGCTCGCAGAAGTTTGCTCAAACTTAACCGGAATTCCGAGGAGGCACGCCCGGACCGAGTTGGCTTCAGCAAAGTGCCCCCGGCTGCACGGATCTGATTGCTGCGCATGGCACGCAGGGACAAAGGGAGCAATGAAGGCAACTAAGCTTTGACCTAGCTGCGCTTTGTCTATCCATGTTGTACTGCTGTGCCGTTAAGATAGGCTCCATGGACGGCACACTTACCGAATTCGATGAATGTGCACCGATTTAGCCAGCTCAGCTCTCCCAATAAAATACTTGCACGTAAGCTTCAGTCAGAAGTATAGCTTCAGTTTCGGCAGGCCTAAACATGAACATGGCACGTGGCTATGCCAGAGGCCGACAATAGCTATGAGGTTGATCCACTGACAACAAGCTGCACTCCAGGAAGTCAACCAGACCTCATCATGTAATTGATTCTTAATTGATCACATACTGTGTGGTCAACTTAATCTTTGACGACACTGACACTCATCTAACCATCCGCAGTGGGCAGTTTGTTCCAGCAGAATCTGCAAGCTTGATGGCGGGGGCGGAGCAGCACGGTTCAAAGAAAGACCGATGTAAACACTGTCTCATTCTGGCCTTCGGAGTTCTTGACGAGAGGTCCAACCTCTCGTTGCACAAGATCCAGGAACAGCCCGTGCGAGAGGGCAAAATGGGGGTTTCCGAAAATAGGGGACCCTTATAGAGCACCCTAAATAGTAGGATCCTTATTATACGGCCCCCAAAATAATGTACCCCTTGTTTTCGGAAACTCCCAAATCGAAAGAGTGCACTCTGGTTCTCTCCTAGCCTCATCCAGGCTCTTTCCTTCAACGGTCTCTCCATTGACTGCCACCACCTCGTCCCCCTCCAGAACCCACATGCCTGAAGAGAAAGAGACACTACTTGGAGGTTCATGGGTAGTTATAAGTATGGTTATAAGTCCCTTGATATAGGTTATAACTACAGTTACCCTACTTATAACCCCACTTATAACTACCCATGAACCTCCAAGTAGCTTTTCCTTTGCAAGAGGATTGCAGTCACTGCCCCCAGCACACGAGCTCCATCGATTACTCCGACGCCCTGCCAATGCTCGAGGCCTTCATCGCCATCAACGATGACCTCAAAGTTCGGATTTGTGGCTCCGCACATACAACAAAACCTTGTGCTTGTCTTTGTCGACAGACTTGTGCAGCTGCACACGCGCCTGATGTGCACAATGGTGAGTGTGTGCCTGCGTGCGTGCCATCGCAGCCGAAGTCTTCTCAGACTGCCACTCGATTATTCAGCTGGTCGGTGTTCCCGTCCTGCATGGTATGCACACTTATCTCTGACCCGAGGTGGTTCCAAACATCACAAAAATTCTAGTTCAATGGGTGTAGATGGAACATAAGCGATACATACCCCTGATGCTCGCCCTACGCACCATGCACTGCTCGCTGCCCCTCACGACATCTCACGACTGATACAGTGTTTGAAGGTACCACAGCGAGCCCCTATAAATGAAAGAGCTTCAGCTTACAAGATCCCGGTGCTGATCGCTGGACATGCCCATGCAACCCATGTGGGGGTTTCCGAAACTAGGGGACCCTAATATAGTACCCTAAATAGTAGGATCCTTATTATAAGGACCCCCAAATAAGGTACCCCTCATTTTCGGAAACTCCCATGTACTGGCAGGTCTTGCTTTCCAAAAGGCTCACTCTGATAACTACGACATCTAGGAGTGAAACATTGAGTATCTTTGTGCCGAACAGGACCCAGGCCTGTTTTTCAGCCAAGGCCCCTTTCGTCCGGGTGCTATCGACAAGTCATTAACAGAACAAACGAACAGACAAGCCAATGAAAAGCTTGTTACGTCAGGGGCAGTGCTGCGTCCAACAGCACTTGCTCCCTGTCTCTGCGTACATTGCCTCGCGTCAAGCTAACCGATCGCAGCTAGACTCAGCTAGACGTGCGCTACCCAAGGCTTATTCTTCAGGCCAGGTGGCTGTATCTGGTGACATCCTTCAAGCAAAGCCCCGAGCCGCGCAGATCTGCGAAGCGGAGTTTTGCTCGTTGCAGTTTGGCCTCGTCGACACTGCAGGCATCGCCTCAGCTCAGTCCAGCCGAAAACGAGCGTGCGCTCACAAGTCTTCGTGAAAGAGACGCTCCGGCTGCTGGCACTTGCTGGCAAAGCGACGCAGTGAGACCTCTTCCATGTTTGAACCCTCAAGATTCGTGAGCAACAGATCAGCACCTGCTTGGAAGTGTTCTCAGATTTTTCAACCGTGGTAGCAGCAAAGAGCTTGCAAAGAGTGCGGATCAAACGGTACCTTCGAGGTCAGCCTGCAGCAGGACGCTTTGACCAAGATCGGCTTTGACCAACCGAGCCCGCACGAAGGAAGACCGACTGAAGTCAGCGCTCCTCCAGCAACACAGAATGGAGAGCGGCCTGCTACAACATGCACCTATAGTCTCCAATGTAGTTCCTTTTTTTGGTTTAACCAAATATATATTAACGAGTTTATAAGGTATCCCCAAAAAGGAACTACAATGGAGACTATAGGCAGTGTCATGGATTGCTGAGACTTTGTCCTGAAACTAAGCACGGATCGACTGATGGAGATACAACCCACAAGCTTCCAATGCTGCTGGCTGCTTAGCCGCAGTAGGCTCCCAGAACCATTGCGACACATTGCCCCACCCCCCCACCCCCCCAAAACAAATAGTAGCTTCTTGAAATCTGAAACCCTAACCCCAAATAACCCCTAAACCTCAAAATAATACCTATAGTCTACATTGTAGTTCCTTTTTGAGGATACCTTATAAAATCCGTACTATATTCTTGGTTACACCCAAAAAAGGAACTACAATGGAGACTATAGGTAGCTCCTAACCCCAAATAACCCCTAAACCCCAAAATAGTAGCTTCTTGAAATCTTAAACCCTAACCCCAAATAACCCCTAAACCCCAAAATAATAAACCCTAAGCCCTAAACCCTAAACCCTAGTAGCTCTTCGAAATCTCACGGATCCCACCTGGCCCAGGCTTCCAGCAAGTCTGCCCCGTCGAGGCAGGCCTGTCCCGCACCAGCCGCAAGGGGATGAAGCTTCGCACTGTTAGGGTTTAGGGTTTAGGGTTTAGGGTTCAGGGTTTAGGGTTGGGGACGAAGCTTCGCACTGTAGGAACCTGATTAAAAAAAACCCTCCAAGAACCCCAATATATTAGGGCTCATATTAAGGTTTAGGGTTTAGGGT